CAGTAGCAAAACACACCTTGTATCTGCTGTGTCAAGCATGTCATTTCGAGCCACGGCCTCCATCAAGCAGCTTCTCACAAATGCTGGGCATACATGCACGACATCTTGCCGGCGATCATCACATTCCACGTGATGAACACGACACGATGTTATCTGCCTACGCCGAACCCTCAACCCAACCCGAAAGTTCTCGCATAGTAGCCCTGACAGTAACCCTAAACCCGAAACCTTAAATCCCTAATTTGCGAAACCCTAAACCCGAAACCCCTAAACCCTAAACCCCTAACCCCTAAACCCTAACCCCTAAACCCCTAAAGCCTAAACCCTAAACCCTAAACCCTAAAGCCTAAACCCTAACCTTAAAACCCTAAAGCCTAAGCCCTAACCTTTAAAAGACAAAAAACCCTAACCTTTAAAAGACAAAAAACCCTAACCTTTAAAAGACAAAAAACCCTAGCCTTTTTCAGGTTTGCTGGAGAACTTGTCCGACGGGCCTGGCGTCGAGCCTGAGGTTAGCGATGTGGAAGCTCGGTTTCAAAATCCTGGGGGTGGGGTTTAGGGTTGTAGGGTTTAGGGTTGTAGGGGTTTAGGGTTTGAGGGTTTAGGGTTTCGGGTGTAGGGGTTTAGGGGTGTAGGGATGAGGCCTGTTGGGGTTTAGGGATTCGGGTTTTCGGATTCAGGGCCTCAAAAACGCTACGGTGTTTAGGGTTTAGGGTTGGCAAGACTGAGCAGGATCGACTCTGGCTTGGGTGCGTGCTGTCCTGAACTAGACTTCCTGCCCACGAGCCCGACCACACGTGATCCGGCCTGACGACATCTTCGTCAAACTGTTCCTACTCAGGAGGTGTAGGCCCATCATCCAGGACGCCTTCGTAAGACTGCTCGTTCCATCTGGCAATGGATTTTGGGAAGCAATGAGGGCTTCAGTCAAGCCAAGGTCATCAGTGGCCGTGGTAGTGACATCGGAAGTACTCAGTCCGACTTGAGCTGCAGCTTCTCGGCCAAATCTTAGATCTGCCAGGGTTCTTTGTTCTACTGCTCTCATTGCAACAGGGGTGGTGCAGCCGCTTTCGAGCTATAATAGGATGTGTGAATTTCGATGCCTGTGACCTTGGTAGAGGTCCTTGAGCCAGCATGTATGTCGGATGGTTGTGATGCGAAGCGATGTCGTAGTAGCCTTTCTGGAGAGTGCAGCTACGTGGATTCGTTCCGTGTCAAGGCTACGAAGACATTAAGCGTTGAAGCCGGAGCAGAGATACTATGAAGGGCAACGTGAGTTCCCACAGAGTCTGAGCCTACTTCGCATCTCGTACTTGGGAGGAGCATTCCTGCAGTAATTTCAGCTAGTGTTTCAAGATATGCAAAGTCGCTCCATGCAGGCCCTCTCTATTATAATTGTGAAAGGATGATGACGAATGAGCTTTAGAAAAATCATTGTGGTGGTGGTTGTGGTGTCGAGGATGACGGCGGCAAAAGGATGTAAAGGCGATGTGACAGCATGATGATGCTGTGGCACAAAGACAACTGTGACGGAGATGGTGGTGATGACAGTGAAAGCATGTTCTGCTGTACTGCAGCCATGCGCATGATGTGTTTGTTTAAAGCATGTGCTGTTGCTGTCATGCTGCAACTACCTGGTATCTACGACAAATCAAAGCTAGGATGATGCCTGTGTTGATTGCTCTTCGTCGTCGCGGTGGTGCTTGTGGTTGTTGTTGTTGCTGCCGTTGCTCCTGCCGCTGCTGTTGTTGATGTTGCTGTGGTTGTTGTTTGTTGCAGTTATTACTGTTTTGGGTTGCCGTCAATGTTGTCGCTGGTGCAATTGTCCTTCTTCTTGGTGTTGTTGTGGTAGCGGTGGTGGTGGTGGTGGTGGCGGCGGTGGTGGTGGTGGTGGTGGTGGTGGCGCTGGCGGCAGTGATGGTGGTGTTGTTGGTGGCGGTGGTGGCGCCGGCGGTGTCGTCGTGGAGGTAGTAGCAGTAGTAGAAGAAGAAGAAGTAGTAGTAGTGGTAGCATGGTGGTTGTGGTGGTGGTGGTGGTAGTAGTAGCAGCAGTTGCCGTCGCAGTAGTAGTAGTCGTCGTAGTGGTAGTAGTGATGGTGGTGGTGGTAGTTGTCATAATAATGGTAACAACCATTAATAAGAATAACACCAATAATAGTAGTAGCGGTAGCAGTTGCAGCAGTAACGATGTACTATGTCGTTGTGTTGTTATTTCAGCTGGAAATTTCGAGTCGATTGCAGCACATCAAGTTATCGGACAAATTCTCCACCCCGCTGCTTCAGGTGACATCGTCATCGATGGAGGCTTGCGAGAGTTTTGAATTCCAATTCGGCTTCGTTCCTTACGCCTGCGACCTGTGCAATCCTCTCAAAAAGCTGTTGTCCGTTCGCCCAGAGGTTTGGTGCACAGAGAGTGTCACTAGCACCATTCCTTAGGTTTCCCCTGTTTCAAGATACGATTACGCAGAAATTTAGCCTATTATCATGGTTCTGTATTACCAACAACATACCCTTTCATCATGATACCACACTACAAAGAATTTACACAATCGTGATACTGTAAATCATTTAACTAGTATACCTTACCAGTATGAGACTGGAACAAGAAGGGTACACATAATCTAGATGATATACATGATTCTAATCTCCATGATAGACCTCGATGGTGGACCCCAAAGCTTGTTCCCGCCAGAACTTTCCGACGCTTCACCCGCCTCCTCGCCCACGAAGCGGGGTCGGCGGGCGGAACGCAAAAAGGACAGGAATGCCGGGCCCTCAGTTTTCAGGGTTGAGGGTCTAGGGATTTATGGTCTAGGGTTGCAGAGAAGGTGAGTCTGCCCAGAACTCAAGGGTGAGGGTCGTGTTTTCTTGGGGGGGGGGGGGGGGGGGCCGAGAAACTCATGGAGAGTTCAAGCTTCAGCTGAAGAGACCGTTACAACAACGCGGCTACTCCGTCCGCCTCCCTTGCCAGAGACTGCTCAGGAGCAACCGAAAGGCATGGTCCTCGGAGCAGGACCGTCAAGTGACACTTCCCTCGTTACGAAAAAAACTCTAAACCCTAAACTTCCCTAAAAAAAGCGCTTAAAAAGAACTTCCCGAAACCGTTACTTGTAGATGTTGTTGTTTCGAAGTTTCCGGAAGTCGACTGAACTTGGATTTGGGGTTAAGGCGTTAGGCCCCGTTCCCCTCATCAAAGCCAGTAGCTGATGAGCCGTGAGCACGTGCATGTTTGCTCGTCCACCCGTTTGGCTTCCTGTTGCTTGCAGTAATTTATGCTTGCTTTCTCAGTTTCTGACGTTCCAGTTCATTTCCTCTAGCTTTTGCGCCTACCCCTCCCACTCACTGTCCCTCTCCTTCTCTCCCTCCCTCCCTCCCTCCCTTCCGCCTCTCTCCCTCTCTGCTTCTTTCCCTCTCTCCCCATTTTAAAACAGCTGCAGCTCACAATATGCTGTAGGACGCTATAAGATACGATAAGGTCCCAAAAGATACGTAAAGCTGCGAAACTGTACCATAACATGCGAAAAGATACCATGCTACCGTAAGAACTAGACAAAAACGTCTTACTAAAGGCGTTACAAGAGACGATGTTACCATAAGAAATATACTAAAATATATCACTAAATGGCATAAAACAGATTTTGTTACCATAAGAAATTTACGAAAAGATCCTACTAAAAGGCATGCAAAGAGACGATGTTACCCTAAGAGACTACATTGTAATAGCAATAGTAATAACAATACTACTACTACTACTACTACTACTACTACTACTACTACTACTACTACTACTACTACTACTACTACTACTACTACTACTACTACTCCTACTCCTACTCCTACTCCTACTCCTACTCCTACTCCTACTCCTACTCCTACTACTACTACTACTAATAATAATAATAATAACGATAATAATAATAATAATAATAATAATAACAATAATAAGAATAATAGTAATAATAATAATAATGAGAGTAAGAATAAGAAAAATAACAAGAATAAGAATAATAATAATAAGAATAAGAATTAATAGAAATAATACAACCTTCGTCACCAGGAGATGAGGAGGTCATCTCGGGAGCTCTAGGCCGGACGCTATGAGCGTTGGTGCCGACTCAGACTCTTGCAGTATGGGGTTAAGGGGTTTAGGGTTTGGGGTTCAGGGTTTAGGGTTTGGGGTTCAGGGTTTGGGGTTTAGGGTTTCGGGGTTTAGGTGGTTAGGGTTTAGGGGGTTTAGGGTTAGTCTCTTGTAGTATCGTATGGTATCTGGTAGTATCTTACAGTACATTAGAGTGTCTTGTCATCGTATAAAGTATATTTTAGTGAATTATGGCATTTTCTAGTATTCTATGATATCTTAAAGTATCCTATGGTATCTTACACTGGGTAAAGTTACATTATGGTGTCTGACAGCAAATCGTATGTTAGGGTTCTGAGAAATGCGACTAAGACGACACAACGAGCTTAGTTTCCACCATTGGGCCAGGTATCAATATCGACAATCCCGGCAAGATTGGCGATTTCTACGACCTCGGAAGGTCTATAGGCGTGGGCTGCACGTTTGGTGTACATCCGCAGTCCCGGATGCGACCTTCTACATTCCATGCGTGGTCCGCGCTATTTACTTTTAACCTGGTGCTGCAAGCATTAGCCAGAGCAACGAGACGAGCGCTGTTCCGCCCTGACCAGGAGAAGGCTCCTTCGGAGCTGTTTTCAAAGCCACGGTGCGTGCTACGGAAGCGATCCGTGCGGTGAAGCGAATACCGCTGCCGAAAACAGGCATCGGGATTGCCTCCCCCAAACCCTCCTGTCAGTGGGGCTTATGGGTAGGTAGAGGTCAAGAGTCCTCGCTGCGCCTCCCCTTCGTGCCTTGAAAGTCCTGTATAGTCGCCACAGTCGCCTCCATGCATCTGAGAAAGAGTACGGCTCCCCGTAGTTTGCAAAGGCCGCGACCGTCAACTACGGCTTGACTTCTTGAAGCAGGAGCTACGCATCACGAAGATGATGGATCACCCGCCACTTGGCTCAACATCTGCAGGCGACTTCTGATGCTCTGGAAGACTCCATCAACATCTCAGGAGCATCGTGAAGCTCTTTGAGGTCTTCGAGGACGACAAGAATGTCTACATGGTTATGGAGCCTTGGCTTGATAGTCCCACGACTCCAACGGCCCTTGCACTTGCAAGTGGGAAACGCCCCCACGCAGGAGCTTTGTCGGGATGGAGATCTCGAGGAGCACGTCCAGGAGCTCGGTTGCTCAAAGCTTGTCTCCTTTATTTTGGCGATGCTGAGGCTATTTTCTTCGCAAGACCTTGATTTCCCCAGAATGTTGTTCAGGAGGGCGGTGTAGATGAGCTGGACGCGGCAACCGTGATGCAGCAGATTCTGCGCGGGGTGGCCTACATGCACAATCAGAAGTCGCTTGGACTTAAATGAGAAGGAAGACTAGGATTTAGGGTCTGGCTACACAACAGTGCTGTTTTCCCTGAGCACTGCAAGAGGGTAGTCGCACCAGCCTTGCAGATGCCTTGTTGCAAAGGATCTGTCATCGGGATCTGACGCTTTGCTGCAGTATCCGGAGAATGCTAATCATGACCGTCAGCGGCATGGGGGCGACATTCTCACGGGTTTGATTAAGTTGGAGTTGTTTGGGATTGGAGCGTAGCATCATTGTCATGTCCTTCGTGTTTCTTTTGTCCTCGCCCCGGATGTAGCGCAGTCTTCTCGGGCTCAAGACTGGTCTGATGTGAGCTATACGGTAGACAGCCTTGTTCGAGTTGGGTGTTCAGGAGTTGTGCCGGTTCCAAGTTGAATCAGGTTCTCGTATGGAGGTCCGAAAGCCAAGTCGCAAACTTCCATTTCCAGGAAGCTTGTGTGCCCCAAACTGTGCATGAAGACTGAGGAAAGCGGAGAACATGCCGCCTGGCAGGAGTTTGGGAGTTGCCTTTCCAGCAAGGAGATGTGACCGTAGGTACTGCAGCGTTGCTAGGCCACCCCTTTGCACCCTCGGTGGTATCCCTGCTACCTCCATGGGGTGGTGGCTCTTGCCACCATCATGATGCTGTCGTTGCTGTTGCTGTTGATGTGGTGATCGTGGTGGTTGGGGTGGTTGTTGTTGGTGGTGGTGGTGGTGGTGGTCATCTTCATGGTCAATGGAGCATTGCAAGCTATGTAGGCTATGTGTCGAGATCCGTGCCTTAGGATCACGAACATCACGTGTGTAGCGTTTGGGGCTTGAGGCTTATAATATAAGGCTTTTTGAGGCTTGGGTCTTGGGGTGCGTAGGTGTGCCGGATAGAGGGGGGGGGGGGGGGGGGGTTAATCCAACAAAAAGCGGCCAGCGAGTTGGGAAGATGCCCAAAAACACCGACCGTTCCTAGTACGAGTCTGGTGGGCTGGACTTTGGAGCGGCGTGTGTGTGTGTGTGTGTGTGTGTGTGTGTGTGTGTGTGTGTGGGGGGCATACCATGACATGGACTTCCTTCTCCCAGTGGCAAAGCTTCGCAGATTTCAGAGTCTCAGAGTGCCTGCCGTTTGGTCGTTTGCACACGCCAACCCAAATAGTGCTGTCTCTACACTTGCGAAGCTCTGAGTCACACGCAGTTGCATGAGTTCCAGAGATGAAGATGAGTTTGCAAGAGGCTGCTGGTGATGCGGCCGGTGCCAAAGGCAGCGAAGCATCCCCACTCTAAGTTTGAGACTCTTGGCGTGGGTTGGCGGCAGGCTGTGTCGAAATCCTGTGGTCCAGTTCGGTACTTTATTTTTTAGCAACATGCAGCCCGCGCGCCTGAGGAGCGCTATCCGGATCTCGGACTTCGGGTTATCCTGTACATATGAGGATGGGCAAATGATGAAGCGGAATTGCGGCACCGACAGCCACAAGTCTCCCCAGGCGAGGATTGCAGACGAAGCATTGTCAGGCTTGAAGCTGGTCAGATGAGGGTTTCAAGATTGGACCCGGTGCGAGACTTCCTCCCCTCTCGTTCCCTCTGCATGGCCGTTGCCGATTCACTATCTGTCGAGGTCTTCGGCCACAACTACAACTACAAGTGTGACGTGTGGGCCTGTGGCGTCATCATGTACTTCCTCTTGATCCTTGGCAGCTTCAGGCTTAAGACCTACGATCCCTGGGTCCGGGGGTTGTCGGGGGCCCGGGCACCCCCAACATCACACCGCAGAGCCTGCTATTGCCGTGCCCCGGCGAGGGATAACCCTGCCAGCGTACCCGAGATCTGGACCAAGGGTCGCTACTACCTTCAAGCCCAGTCTGCGCTTCGCCTTCACAAACGCCATGCCTTCAGGAGCGGAAGCTTACCTTTCGAGGGCAGAGATGCCGAGGAACTGCAAAAGAAGCCCGGCAGCAGTTCCTGTTGGTCCATGAGCTTCTGAAAGTGCCGTATGCTGAATGCAGGGACAGTGTGAGTTGCTAGACGCCGCTTTGTTAGGGTCACTTGCAGCGATGGCAGAAGGGCACGAACTGAGTGCTACGGTTCCCTAATATTCGCCTGGTCTACCTGGGTTGGTCAACAGATCTAGCCAGGGATCAATCTTTCTGAATGGCAGATGCCCTTCCCTCGGGCCGTCAGACAATGTGGAACTGATCTGGCGTAGTTCCGCACTGTCCTTGTTGCGACAGAGTCTGCCGTCGTTGTGCGGCTCACACTTGCTAAGGAAGATCTGCGCCGCCAAAGTTACATGGTGCCAGGCCAGGCTGGTTTGCAGAAATCGAAATCAAGCGAAGTAAATCAACGGCTGGGGTCTGCGGCCTGAGCTCTGTCGTCGTCGTCGTACCTGGCAGCGTGATACATCGTCGTCCCTCGTCCTTCTCGTCCTCGTCCTCGCCACTGTTATCGCCGCCACCGTCCTCGTTGTCGCCGTCATCCTTGTTCTCATCCTCGTCCTCGTCCTCGCCATCTTCCTTCTCGTTCTCCTCCTCCTCCGCCTCCTCCTACTCCTCCTCCTCCTCGTCCTCCCCATCCCGGTCGTCCTCGTCGTCCTTGACGTCCTCGTAGTCGTTCCTCTTGCTCGTCCGCATTGTCGCATGGCAATTGCAAAAGACTTTTTTGCGTGATAGTGGTCACAGAAGGGGGGACCCTAACAGCACCCAAGCCGTCAGAGTGGCTGTCCTGGTAGGAGTGGATGTCGCGATCCGGCACCGTGCTGAGCTTCAGGGCTCTCTGTGCCAGTCAGAAGGTTCTTCTCAAGTGCGACAGCTTGCAAGCCGTGACTTCAAGGCTGCCGCTCTAAAGCCCAGGTGAGGCCATGAACCTGGCCCGACAGCTTCTTAACTCCAACGAGGCTGTCAGGATCGAGGCCGCACAGGCGGCATCTTCTGGGGAGCTGGTGGGATGTCAGGGCTTTCACAGTCTGGCCTTCTCGTAACTTGCGGGGTTGCTCGTCTTCTGCCCTCTTCTGCAGCCCGACGTGGAAGCCTCAAAGTGCTGCTTGATCTCAGGGTTTTGCCGTCCCAGCATGCTCCCTCGAAAGAACGTGAGCGGTTAATCCGCGTGCCCTCCCGACAGCTTTGCAAAAAGATACCCAACAAAAACAGGCGTTGAAGCACAAGTGGTTCACCAAGAGGGTCCCTCGCCGAAGACTGGCAGCTGTGGACGAGGACCTTGCTTGGGAGTGCGCCCTTCGTCAGTTCGGATTCAAGCGTTGGATTCTGAGACGTAGCGTGCCAAAACTACCTATAGTGCTTCTTGCTTGAGCTGCAGAGCTGCCTGGAGCGCACCAGGAGATTATCAACAGTCTCCGCGGCTTCCGAAAACTCAACAAGTTCCGGAAGGCCGCGCCATCAGCTCTGAACACCGTCTTGGTATGTCTTGCGCCAAAATCGAACGTCCTAGCTTCCAGCGGGGGCATCCACTGAAGAGAGGCAACTAAAAGAACGCCATTCATTGTCTGTGCTGTTTTCCACGGTGGCGGAAGACCCCTGCACCTTGTTCTGCGTCCCTATAATAAGGATCCTATTAACCTACTATTTACGGTACCTTCTTGGGGTCTTCCTGTTTTTGGAGAAGTCAGGCCTCCTTGGCAGTCATTGCCAGCATGCTGCCCGAGAAAGTCATCCGCCCGGGTCGAGACCTGCCCGGGACTCGGAAGCTCGGGGGCCGGAAAGGAAGGGGGAAGGGGGGGGGGAGAAATTTTTAACTGTGAAAGCTTTGGGGCTTTCAGGGGTTCTTCCGGATTGTTGGGGGGGGGGGGGGTTACAGGGTTTGGGATGGAGAGTTTGAAGTCATCCCTGGAGCTGAGGTTTATTTATCTCGACAAAGATGGCGATGGCGAGGCTTTGGCTTCAGTTGTGGGGGCGATATCATGGCCCGGCCACTGAATCGCTGCAAAAGCTGTCGCTGTCTCCCAGTCTCCCATCAATCTTCGTTACTTGTCACTTTTTCCATACAGTCATACCCTGTGAGACAAGCGTCGTAGCCAGGCTTTGTTTGGTTGTCTCGCCTCCCCATGAAAGCATACACATGTGATATTTTGTGATATCAATCTCGGGTTGAAGGCTTCGTTTCTTTCACGAAGACAAGAGCATGCAACAGAGCTTCCTGCAAGTCTGTAAACAATTAATATGGAATCAGAGCAGCATGCTGCCTTTGCCTTGCACATCAGAAGGGGTGGCTCGTGTTGGTAGCAGGTCACGCTGACGGAGTTGCGGGAGGCCATGGAGGACTTGAAAACGAACAAGCCGCCTCACGGCTTTTGATTACACTGTCGTTTAGGATTTAGGGTTTAGGGTTTAGGGTCCCTGAAACCAAAAGCCTACCGAGGCGGGGTTGACCAGTAGTTTACCTTCGGGAGATTCTTTCCAGTCAATCTTCGGTACCCGTTTACTTACTTACCTTTGGTTAGTAGGGAATGGAGGAATGGGGTACAATTAAAACTACTATTGCTACCATTCTTCCATTCCCTACTAACCAAAGGTAAGTTTAGTTTCAGGAGGACAGTCAACCTTGTCGACACATCGTGCCGGACCCCTGCTCGCCCAGGAAAGACGCGGGACGCGTGTCAGAGGACTCCACATCAACACTGGCACGAAGAGATAGAGTCTGATCTGCTACCCCAAAATGTCAGTATTAGACTCAGGAGATCTGGATTGCCAAGTAGCTCAGAGATCCTGTTGTCTCATTTGTGAGTCTGCTGGTGTCCTGCAGGACATCTTCTCTGAGAAGAAGAGCAGCTTCGATGCTTCCCATCCCCTGCCCCAAGTATTGAATCCTCTGATTTTGGCCGAAATAAACGTTAGTTTGGGCATAGGCATACTGAGGATAACAACCACTGGTGACAAGCGCGGTAACCATAGTGATGAGGGGATGGGCATGAGCAGGAAGTATTCAAACATGAAACCCGTGTTACGTGTGACCACTGAAAGTACCGCTGCAAGCATGATGGTGATCAGGGTGATGGCCATGCGCATGATGGGGATTCGGAGGATGATGGCTGAGGATTAAGCTGGTCCTCACATTCATGCTCGAATCATGAAGATTCGTGCTGGTTAAGGTGTCAGTGATGGTGCTGGGTGTTGGTGCAGCAGCCCCTACATCGCAAGCTTGCGTGTGAATCCTCTTCCACCTTGTTGCCAAGGCACCGTGCCAAAGGCACAGAAGCAGGAGGAGCCGGAGGCTGCGACTGCGAAGTCAGCTGCAAAGCCAGCTGCAAAGGCGTCCACCAAACCAGCTGCAAAGTCGGCTGCAAAGACAGGCCAGGGAGGCCAGGGAGGTCAGGGTAAGGAGAAGTTGGAAGAGAAGCCAACTGCCCAGCCAGCAGCCGCAGCACCCGCCGCAGCCGCAGCGCCGGCACCGGCGGTTCCTGCGGCTGAAGCCCAGAAGGCGATGCTGCGTTCGCAGCCGTCTTTCCAGGCGCCGCGGGGCCGAAACCGGTGGGGTTAGGACTCCGGAACTTGCTCCATGACAGAAGGATCCGACTTGGGGTGTCTTTCCGTGCTCCGTGCCAGCAGTAGCCTAGTAGCTTTGGATAAGCCATGATAGGCCATCGTATCCTCTCAACACGTGGCGAAGAGTGTCTGCCCTGGGCAGTTGGACCAAGAGTTCCCGGCCTTCAGCTACACGGAGTTCGTTGCCGCCACCTTCGATCGAAGCCGGCACTCCACCGAAGCGGTCTTGGGGCGGAAGCAGTTAGTAAAGGAATGAGGGGTTTGCTGTTTCGGCCTTGCGATTCGCAGGGTGTTGTGAGATGCATTTTGGGGGGGTCAAGGCTTCGGTTTGGGGCGTAGGGTTCAGCGGGCTTCGCTGTCGGAAACGCAGGGTACCCATGGAGCCTACCATCTAAGAGGTTCTTCAACTCAGAGCCTCAGTGCTACGTGTATTTCCGGACCAAATGAGTTCCCGAAACCTGTAACGACGTTGGCCCTACTTTCCAACCCAGGTGTGTCGTGCAGCCTTTCGATGCTTCGACAAGGACCGTGATTCCACCGTGGAGCACCGATCCCACGGAAGCCCTATCATCGAACTCGGCCTCCACTGCCACCCACCCGACGAGCCGAGAACCATACGAGTCGATGGGTTTAGGGTTTAGGACTTAGGATTAAAAGGCAGATCCGGCACTGCGTCGCTTGTGTGCACGTCTGTTTTCAAGAGGACAACTCCGGCCAGTTGGAGCCGGCTGAGCTTGTTGATGGCTACCTCCTTGGGAAGCTTGAGCCTCACGAGGCACGGCCTCCCCCACGTGGTGGTGGTCGCAGGAGTCCTAGTAGTAGTAGTAGTAGTAGTAGTAGTAGTAGTAGTAGTAGAAGAAGAAGAAGAAGCAGGAGTCGTGGTGGTGGTGGTGGCGGTGGTAGCGGTCGTGGGTAGCAGCAGCTTTGGCAGTAGCAGCAGCAGTAGTCACAGTCGCGGCCGCGATCGCGGTCGTAGTCGCAGTCGCAGCCGTCGTCGTAGTAGCAGCAGCAGCAGCAGCAGTCGCCACCCCTCATAAATGCACTTGCTCCACACCTTCCGCTTTCTGGCAGCACATTCATTTTACTCGATGGCGCGCCCATCTCGCAGAGGGCTGGTATGATTTGTTTCATCATTAGGCATTTTTGGCCCGAGGTTTAGGGGTGGTAAAACCGTCTTAGCAGCAGCTTTGTTTTGCAAGGGATCTACGGCGTTTTGCATTATCCTACCGCAGCAGTAGTAGTAGTAGTAGTAGTAGTAGTAGTAGTAGTAGCAGTAGCAGTAGTAGTAGTAGTAGTAGTAGTAGTAGTAGTAGTAGTAGTAGTAGTAGTAGTAGTAGTAGTCGTGGTGGTAGTTGTGGTGCTGGTGGTGGTGGTGGTGCCGGTGGTGGTGGTTGGTAGAAATTGCTGCTGCTCTAGTGCGATCTACCACAACAGCCACAACAGTAAATGCTACTAGTACTGCCACCACTAGAGCGTACCCCTGCTACTGCTACGGCTCCGGCGACGACTACGACTGCGACTCCAGCTAGGACGACAAATACAGCCCCGGCTACGTCCGACCACGTCCGACTACGATTTCCACTACGTCACGTCTACGTCTGCGACCACGACTAGCACGACTATGGCGATCACGACGAAGACATCTACAACAGCAGCAACAAGAACTGCTGCTGCAACCTCCTCCTCCTCGCCACACTACGCATGCTGCTGCTCTTCCTCCTCCTCGTTCTCATCCTGCTCCTCCTCATCCTGTGACTACTGCGACTGCTACCACCACTGCTGCTGCTACTTCTACGGCTGCTACTGCTGCTGTTCTAGCTACTGCTACTGCGACTACTGCTACCACTACTACTAAGCTACGACAGGCCGCTACTGTGTACCTATTTGCACATGTCTGGTGCACTTCTAAGAACCAGCAATTGTGAAGTGCATGAGCATGCACCAAAGAGGTCTCACTGGTGTAGTCCGACGAATAGGCTGGCTGCAGTGCACCTTAATGCTCCGCCTTCTTGCGCAAACCAGAGAGCAAACGAACTCGCCACAGCATCCGTCGGAAACCCAGCCCGAAACGGCAGCTTGAACAGCATGCGCAGCAGCACAGGTGGATCAGATCATGGAAGAGCTAGATGAAAACGGTGATGGCGAGATTGACTTCCAAGAGTTCATGGCCATGATGACACATCAGGCGAGAGTGAATTGCTCAATTCTTGGGCGTTTCGGACTTCGGTGGGCTTGTTTTTTGGGATGGTTCCGGACGTTATCCGCCTCCACAAGCTCTGTGAAAGCGGCCATTGGCTATTGAGAGGATGGTATAGGAGTCGTGGTGGCTGTGAGTTGAACCGCAGGAAGAGTGGAAATGGAGGTCGTTGAATGAACATGGATTCGTAGCTTGCTTCGCTGATTGGACTGGGTTTTGTCTTCAGCTTGCACACCAGTTGGTTTCCGGAAAAATTTCCACGGTGGCATATGAGTATGACCTGGGACGACAGTACCCTTGCACCCCTACACTCTCGAACCCTTGACTCTTGACTCTTTTGCTGCACAGCGGCGGTATTCTCTTGTCCAGGAGTCTCCCACCATGTCTCCAAAGAGCAATCCTTCCCCTGCGAAAGCAAAGGACAGGGATCGCGAAAAACTTTTGTGCGTTTGGACAGTTGGATGTGAGGGAAGAAACAGTAGCAGGTTTGGGAAGCAAGAGCTGCAGGGAGGTTTCTTGACGTGGGCCCTGTGGTTGCTAGCCTGGAGCGGGAAGCATCTCATAGGCCCTAAGGCAGCGGCGACAGTGTCGAGCGAGAGTCAGTCACTGCTCGATCAGTGAGTATTCAATGCAGCTGTAGTGTGCACTAATAATCAGCACTTGCTGGGTTAGGGATCTTGCAGCCCTCATCGTAGATGATGTAGATGCCAAAATTCAACAGTAATCAGTAGTTGCAGCAGTGGAATGACACCTGCTGGACTGCTTCCGAGGACTCGGGATGAGACTGGTGGGTTTGCCTCTTGGCAAGCCTGGGCTTTCAGTGGCTCTGCTTGAGCTGCAAGAAGGTCGGCAGAGCACTTGTGCCCAGGTGCTGCGAAGATTTGCGAAGAAAGGCTCCGAAGCTTGAGAGGTCGTTTTCTCAGAAGCTTGGGCAGAAGCGCTGGCTGCTGGCAGCTAGAGATGCAGACTGTTGCGGCTCATTTTGTTCGGTCTGCCATGCAAAGGCACAGTGTGCTAGCTGCCAGCGGGTAGGTGTCGGCCGGAAGCTCTTCGCACGTTTGAACCGCCAGCTCGAACACCGGCCCGCAAGTTCTGCTGGAAATGCAGAACTTCATAAGAAAGTATTAGCTTTGTATTTCAACCGAGCTGGCTGTGAAGGGGATCTCATCCGCAAGTGATCGAGGCCTCGTCATGCCATGTGTCTGCCAGGAGTGTGCAACAGTTTTCGAGAGAAGCAATCAGTCTTGCCACACGACTGCCATGGATTCCAGCATGCCTTCTGGTCATCAGCAGTATAGTTCTCATTCCCAGATGGTCGTATCATTATTCCAGACTTACCTTGTGATTGTCATCCGGTTCTTATTCTGCTATTGTTCCTAAAATGTCCTATTCTTATTCCATTCTAACCTGTTCTCATTCCTGCTGATGTGGATTGCTGCTGTCTTTTGCTTCATCAGCGTCACCGTGACCATCACCGTCATCATCACCTTTCCCACCAGCATCAGTAGTATTAGCTTGTGCTTGTGTTGGCGTTACTGTATCTTCACTGGTTTTCTGGTCATACTCGCTGTGCTGGATCAAATGGCCGGCTCACCTGTGTTATGTTTCTATTTTTGTTGCTGGCGCGGTGTCTACCATGAAGGTGCTGGTGATGGTGAATGCAGTGCGCCGCTGCTCATGATGACGATGATGATGATGAGCACAGTCTCACGACGATGTCGATGATGATTCCATTTGCCGTTAGCCGTGATGAAATGATGAAGATACCGATGCTGAAGATAGCCAGAACAAAAGTGATGATGTGGGGATGATGGGATCATGGTGTGGCCCCTGTGTACTCATGATGCAAGACAAGAAGAAAACCGCTGTGATTATGCTGTGATGTGGCGGTGGCGACAACGACAACTGTGATGGTGACGACGAAGAAGAATGTCATGGTCTTAGTCATGAAGGCACATGAAGGCCATAGTCATCATGATGATGGTTGCAGCGGCCATTTCCATCATGACGTTTGCGGGGAGGAGTTTCTCTGTTTTGTCAATGTTCCCATGACTGCTGCCACACTGTCATCACTACAGCGAAGAACATCTTGTATCCGTAAGCTTCGAAGCGCAGACTCCGGGGTTCCTGCGCAACATCAACGACAGCCTGCGAAGCCTGGAAGACCTTGCCAAGCGCCGCCTGCGCGATTAGGGCAAGAGAAGTGCTACTACTGCCCGTCCCCCTCCATGATTGCAGCTGTTGCAACAACCGTCCTTCTTAAATGGCTATTTGTCTTTGTGAGAACCATGAAAGTTATCATGCTTATGAGATAGTTCAGGGTGGGTCCGAGAATGTGACATGAGGCCATCACCATAGCCTTGACTGCTGTGGCTGCTTGTGAAACTCACCTTATTAACACTGCCGAGTTAGACAGCGTCATGTCAGGACAATGTATCCGCCGGAGGTGTTACATGTGCGCTGCGCCCAATTCGACCTGACAGGTTCCTGTAGCTCAGTCTCATAAGTGTGCTAACTTCAGTTTACCCTGTGAAAGTTGCATTCCGAACAGATAGTCAGCGACTTTTTCAATCTCGGTGACTGGCGGTGCGCCCGGCAGAGCTCCTACAATGCAGGAGCCTCCGCAAAGTGCAAGGCTCTGGGCTCGTGCATGGTTCAGTCCCGTTGCGCAGGGACGTTTCACTCCGCGCCAGAGATGCGGCTCCATGGGATCCGTGCAGGTGTAAAGTGTGTAAATGCAGAACGTTTTCAGCTTCCATCTCTGTGCAGTGTTCGTAATTATCGCAGAGAGGAAGTGACAGGGATGAGCTTCCCTCTGCCGAGGCGTACCGGCGCGGAAGAGTCGCAGGGGTGCCTGTAGTTCACGGTGCAAGTGCAACCTCTGCAACTGCTTCCGGTCATGCTCGCCACATTCTTGGACCTTGCAGGCCTTGCCTGCCAATGCACACGAATGTTTTTCTGCGGCACATGCAGAGCATGTCTTGAATAATTTCAGTCGCAAGCCGGCCCAAAAGCCGATTCCCGACTCACATGCCGCTACATCAGCACTAAGCCGAAGTCCCCTAAGGGCTTTGCAAGTCTTGCCCAGTCCGAGTCGGCTCATGTTTTGCGTCTCATGACCAACGACCTACAGTGGCTTTTCCTCGGCAAAAGAGGGTTTGCTTGATGTGTAGTGGGCCAACGTTTGAGCTGGGTGGCACTGGGTTTTAACTTGATTCGCAGGGTTTTGGGCAGGGGCAACCTTACTTTTCTGTTTGTTGAGCAGTTGACTGAAGTATCACCGCTTCGCTGGAATCAGCAATTCCTAGACGAGACACAGAAGGATGCCGCTTGGTTGTCTGTGTCAGATTATGCGACGCGCAGGCACTTGCTGGAACATCCTCTTTTTACAGAGAGGCCAAGAACAACGCCGTACCCGTCCGTGACCCAGGTTGACATGACCAATCGTTGTTTATCTTTGTGTCTGTTTCGGTATGCATGTTTATCTCTCAGTGCTTGTTCGTTGTGTGCATGTGTGTGTGTGTGTGTTTCTCCATTCCTGAGTGGGTGGTTTACAATAGGTGTGGGACGCGGGCCGGTTTCACGGTCGACAAGTGTTTCTTGAAGTGTTTTGGGCCATGATCAAAGCGATGGACTCGGTGCAAATCTGCTTGTGGTGGCTCAGGTGTCCTATGACCAAGGTCCAGGTGCTTCGATACTTTTCTCTTTGGAACCAGTCCGTCGCTGCTCTCATGAGGCTGGATGCGCTCCCCGACCCGATCTTTACGAATAAGACAGCTTTAAAATGGTTCAGGACCAAGGACCTGAGCAGCTCAATCGAATTCCCGTAAAGTCAACACTCCTTATACTCACTCTGCTAATATCCTCAGCCCGTCTGAAAAACAGGCAGCTGGAGCCAGACATCTATCACTGTATGGACTACCATGCAGCGCTTGCCCCGCTGTACCTGCCGGAGCTTCAGGGTTCCGCTCGGTCTTCACGAAATTGTTATGAGTTGATGTAGCCAAGCGCTTCGACCGTGAAGCCTTGACCACTTCACTACACTGGCGTGTTAAGATTTTCAAGCAATGCCGTCCATGCTTTCCGTGCATGTCACTGCACTGTTGGGTGCTTGTCGATCGAAAGTCGTCGCTGTTGAGAGAATATAGTCGATGACACAAAGCCAACGTCGTTGTTGACCAAGTGGCTGTGGAGCAACAAGAGGCGCGGAGTGTGAACGTCCGCAGTACTGGATTACAGTACCTTCGAATCTTCTCTATGCAAGCTTCCTGCCTAGGCTCGTCGCAATGAAATTTTCAGGTGTGGTCGTGGTGCCTTTTTGTGGTTGTCGACGTGGTTGCGCCGGCGGTGGTGCTCATCGTCGTCGTCGTTTTCGATTTTATTGTTCCTCATGATGCTGCCAGGCAGCATTGTCGCCGCCATGAAGGGTTGTGCCATACTGTCTATTTGCACCACACGCAAAAAGCTTCAGTGAGCAGTTTCTGCAGCCTGTGCTACCTTTATGTACATCACGGATGCACACGTCTCATACGCGTCTCAGAGCTTGTGAAGCCTTTGGAGCAGATTTTCAGCTTCCGCACATCCCGTGCGATTGGCATGGCGTTCCAAAACATCGCACACCCATGAGTTTTGAACCGAAGAGGCGCATGTCTATTGCTGGGAATCGGGCAAATTTGCAGGAGAAGCCCATTCCGATGATCTTGGTCTTGCACAATGCGGACTACATGGGTGCCTTGGCCGGGGACAGCAAAGCCAGTCTTCTCACTGGTCACATCAGACTGCTCTTGTTGTGGCTGCCGTTGACGAGTCCTATGTTGAGCTGTTTGAGATGTTGAGATGTTGACAGCAGAATATTGCGAATAAAGGTCAAGAGTAATAGCAACTCGTAACTGTAACAAGACTTGCAACAATCCTGTTCAAGACCCTACATTCTAGACCATGCGACCGATCAACAAAACGAGACCATGCGAGCGAATGCTTTGATTGATCAGAAGACTTGAACCCAAGTGTGTGAACCTGCATGCTGTCTTACATCGCAGACCCGCGTTCGGGGTAGCTGGGCCTTGTCCTTTCTGCTATTCCCGGAGCAATTGTGACCTTTGCAATGACAGCTGGCGGAGGTGTCATTGAGACGGACTTCATCAACGACCGGTTCTGGAAGACCACTTCGACGATGCGAAGACTGAGTCCTGAGCTAAGCCCAATTGGAGCTGCCAATGCCGCAAGATCAGCATTTGCAGCATGAAATGTCTTTGTTGCCATCGTTGCTGCTATTGTTTTTGCCGTTGTTCGATACTTTCTCCCTCTGCAGTTGCCGTCAGCAACACTCCTTCACAGATGTGCGATCGAGGCCTCGTCTTCAACTTGCGTATTCGAGCGATCCGGAAATACGTGCTCTTCGAAGGGCGCTTCAACATGCTGAAGGCCAATTTGGGCCAAGAGTTTCACGCCAGCTGTCTCAGTCGCATCCATGGACAGGCTGGTGTGGCCTACATCAAAGAGATGCAAAATGGACATGGGGTCTGTGCAGTCTCGGCCAACTATGCAGCCGAGCTCAAGCGTGCCTCGGCAGTGGCAGCAACCAAGGACGACTTAAATCAGGCCAAGGCCAGCTTCCTAATGCTTTGCGTCGTCATTGTCGTTCTGTCCAACAGAGTTGTCTTGTCAGGCCGGGTCTCACGCATGCCTCCCCTCCACAGGGTCTAGTACTGTAGTCGGAGTCACTTTTTGACAGCTGGGACTGCAGACCCCATTACGCCTCGTTCACTATGCAAGGGAAGCCTGTTTCGAGAGCCTTTATGTAAGGCCAGGCGTGCTGCAAGCGCAAGTGCTCCCATCATTGCCATACATTGCCACTGTCGCAACCGCCTCTGCCGCCAGTAATTTTGAGTGTTCTGAACAGACTATTCACGTGTCGTTTGCAGAACCCGATTCCGTTTGTCCATGTTGAACTTCAATACCCGAAACCGCAAACTCTAATCTGTCAAGGTCCAAACATGTCCCAAGTCAGTTTCATGCATCGTGTTCCGATGTGTCAAGCATCTGCGGCCCTCTCATCATGGGAATCTTCACAACACGGCCACAGCCGAGGTGAGCGGATGCTCTTTCGTGGTCTGCCCAACATCCTGCCGTTGGATAATGCCACTGATCCAGCGGATGACCAGGGCACAGGCCGAGATGGCTGTTGGTTTAGGGTTCAGAGTTTAGGGGTTTAGGGTTTGGGTGGAAGAGTATCTGTTGGAATTATGGTTCCCTGCAGAAGTGACTGCCCACCAATACCAACATCAGCTGAGGATGCAGATACTTGGTCGAGATTGATTCCATAATATGCAGTTTGCACGCGGCAGGTACGAAGGAGCTGAAAAAGAGGCGCTACGCCGCCAAGGCAGCGTTACAAAAACGCTGCAGCTTAAACGAGGACTGCTGGCTTCCAGTGCACGAACAGTAGAAGTCTGAGATCCTGACATGTGGTTACATCCTCTTACCTCTTGGATCGGGGCATTGGGCAGATGTTGAACATGATCGTCAATCTTAGTGAAGTACGTAGCAACCAGTACCTTTTTGGAAACCTTTGTAATGGGCCTCCAAGAACCATCCCACCAAAGTTTGCGTCGGAGGATGGATGTCAGCATGTAGTCGTACCAGGTATGTCAGTGCTTTGTGCTGGACTTGAGCACAGTGCACGGTCGTGTGAATGTGGGTCACCCGTGCTACCATGCCAAAATCTGTAGTTGCATGGAGCAATGTATGAGGTGGGGTTTGTTGTTAGGGTCTTGTCGATATACACAACAAATAATCAAGAACTAAGTAGTAGTTTAAACGGAGAGAGCAAATATATTGCAGAGAATACAATGCAACATAACGGAATAGAACAAAATGCAATGTGACATAGAGTGAAAATAACCGAATGTCAATAATCCAACATAGTATAACTTAAGAAGATACAACTAACAAAATGTAATGTAACACAACATACTGTACCAATATATACTAGAATGGCACATAACACAGTACAAAGTTGTATATTAAAATATACTATGCTACAACATGCTGTAATCTACCATCACTTAATAGAATGTAGTGATTATACTGTCATCTCATGTATTATCATATAATAACACTGATTGTAGTATAATGTACTACGGCATAATGCAGTATGCAATACTAAAATGTAATCTAAGCTGAGACATCGATATACGCCTACATGTAGATAAATGCATACAGACATACGTTCTTATATATATATATATATGTGTATACATGTCAAAAAAATTGATGGATAGTTAACCAGCTAAATAAACACAAAAACGAAACTAGAAGTAAGTAAGCAAACAAGTAGATAAATAAGTAAATAAATACAAACAAGTAAGAAATATATGTCTCTCTCTCTCTCTCTCTGTCTCTCTGTCTGTCTCTCTCTCTCTCTCTGCAAGTGCATTTCCGAACTATCATCGCCTGACCAGAGAAGTTCCGTTCGAAGGGGCTCTTACAAGCTGGGAGTGGGGATTGCGCCGGTCGCCAAGTCGCGTCAGCATAAATAAGGTCCTCTTTCGAGCCCTTCTGCTCTCAACATAAGTACCTTGAAGGACATGAAGATTTCACAAACACTGCAGATTCGAGAATATCGATATCTCAAGAAGGTAGATACAACCAACAATCGCCGGATGCCATCTTTGTTGGATGGATGTAAGCCGCAAGCCATTGGACATTGCACGAAGCCTCTGCCAGGACCCTGGAGCAAAGATCTTAATCTTTATCGGCCGCTGGGTGAAGCAGAAGGGGGTGGACCACATTGCGATGCTGACGGAGGACGCTTTTGAGACCCAAGATCAAGTAGGCATGACGCTGTCGGCGCGCAGCAGCACCACGACTACAATGACCACCATGATACTACTACTACTACTACTACTACTACTACTACTACCACTACCACTACTACTACTACTACTACTACTACTACTACTACTACTACTACTACTACTACTACTACTACTACTACTTCCACTGCTCCTGCTGCTACTACTGCTACTACTGCTACTACTGCTACTACTGCTACTACTGCTACTACTCCTACTCCTACTCCTACTCCTACTCCTACTCCTACTCCACTCCCACTCCCAGAATCTGAAGGGACTTCCTGGTCCCGCGAGATCTGAGAACTTGCAGGAGATCCTCCGGAGCCAGCAGAATGTGCAGATGGTCCTGGCGGGTCCGCCGGACGATCCCTTCGGCCTCTACGCGCAGGAGATGCTGGTGCCACTGAAGGTGAAGTTCGAAGGCTCGGCTTGAGAACGGAGAGGGGTGACTCCACAAGAGCCTCGAACCCCCGCAAATTCTGAAGCCTACATCCCGAACCTATTCAAGACTCTACGAAGCCCTAGACACAAAATCCCGGAGCCCCAAAACCTTAAACGGTTCCGAAAAACCCAAACCCTAAAGCCTAAACCCTAAGCCCTAAACCCTAAAGCCTAATGCCCAAACTGCTAAACCCCAGAGCCCAAACAGAGAAGAAGCCCGAAATCAGAAGGTCGGCTTTTCGTGTGCACCGAGTTCTTCTGCCTTGAGAAGGCGCCAAGAGTTTAGGGGTTTAGGGTTTCAGAGTTCAGGGTTTAAGGTTTAGGGGTTAGGGTTTAGGGCTTTAGAGTTCAGGGTTCAGGGTTAAGGGTTTAGAGTTTAGGGTTTAGAGTTCAGGGTTCAGGGTTAAGGGTTTAGAGTTTTAGAGTTCAGGGTTCAGGGTTAAGGGTTTAGAGTTTAGGGGTTTAGAGTTCAGGGTTTAGGGTTTAGAGGTTTAGAGTTTAGGTTTGAGAGTTCAGGGTTTCGGATTCTTCTCGAAGCACACGGGAGATACACCTAAACCCGAAGCCGGAGAGGATTACCGGCTTTTGGAGTTTAGGGTTTGGAACTTTGGCGAGGGTTCAGGGTTTACGGGTTTCCTGGCTGTGAGGTTTCAACTCTGAAGGTTTGGAGGCTGAGGGTTTGGGAGCTTTCGGGTTTGAGTGTTCCGGGTGTGAGGGTCTAGGCTTTGATGCTGTAGCATTTGTTGGTTTGCCGTTTTAGGCTCTAGGGCTTTGAGATTTGTGGGGGGTTTGAGATTCGGGGTGTGAGGGTCTAGCGTTTGGGTTCAAGCATGTTTTAGGTGTTGGAGCTTCGAGGTCAAGGGTTTGGGTTTAGGGTTTAGAGTTTAGGGTTTAGGGTTACCATGGATTCCAACTTGAATTCCAACTTGTAGAATTTTCGTATCGATGGGCCGAACTTTGTCTCCTGTTTACCATCTCCTGCAAGCTTAGATTCACTTGACCCATGTTGCCCAACAATCCCTGAACCCTCCAAGTGTAGATGCAAAGGCATTATAGCCCGCATGGGCACTATTGTTAAATGTTATCGCCAACATCCTGCATCTCGTCCGCACCATCATCGTCATCATCATCATCATCATCACCACCAGGTTCATCTGCGCCATAGCTATCATATTACCAGGACGTTCACCACCATGTTGAGTTCCTGTTGAAGCTCAGTTGTAGTCACGCAGTCACCCGTTATAGAACCGCAGAACCTTTCATGGTAAGCCCGGAGAGTGGCCCTGATAGTAAGCCTTCTATTCTAATCGCAGTCGTAGCCTTGACAGTAGCCCGTCTAGTGGCCCTTATCGTAGCCCTTCCATTAGCCCCTACAGTTGCCCTGGCCGTTTGGCTTCGGGCCAGTTTCCTGAAAAGGAACTCCGCCGCGGTGCACACCTCTGCTTTACACCCTCCTGCTCAGAGCCCTTCGGTGCCCTGGCTTCGGCAACAACATATGAACATACATACATATATATATATATGATAATATACTGTAATATAATATAATATAATGATATGTATATATATATACATAAGATATAATCTATAATAACAAGAGGGGGGGGCTTCCATGGCTCTTTTCCGGGCTTCGGCGCTCAGGGTTTAGGGTCTGGGCCAAAACGGGAGTGTAAGTCCATCTCGATCGCGTGATCGCCTCTCTAAAAGCATGCCCATGCCCGATGTGTTTCAAGCTTGTAGCGGGGTGTGCGGAATATACTTGTAGTGGTTTTTGCTTCCTTCCTGCCAGCATCTGTGGAGCCAAATGCGGGCTTTCGACAACAACTCTTCACCAGATCATCTTTATCCTCTCGCCCAGGATATTACATCCACGCTGTGTTTAGAATTTTCCGCTGTGGAACATTCCGACCATGAGACCGTACGAAGCCCGCTAAGGTAGGTATTGCAACTGCTAGGTATGTTGTGCATGCAATCTGAATTTGTGTACGGGTTTCCCAGAGTTTGAAGCATAGTTTGGTCTTCTGGCATGGTCTCATATGCTCGTCCTGACGCGTGCGATGCAGCTGCAGGTTACGTGGACGTGGAGTTCGGTCTGCTTGGTGTCCCTTCTGTAGGCTGCGCTATTGGTGGTCTGGGCAAGATGCCGGGAGTCTATTTCCGTCAGCAAAATGCCGACTCCCCCCACATGCTCCTTGAAGCATTCCACTGTGCGGTCGACTATGCCTTGGACATGCCTGCCACGTGGCAGCAAAGTGCAGGGTTTAGGGCAGCGGGCAGCGTTCTGCAGGGGGTTTGAAACACGAAAGACTAGAGGACTCGAGACCTGGCAAGCAAAGCTTTGGCTGAGGATGAGGAGTACTGGCAGATGGCCAAAGCTGCCACTCGGGCCGAGTTCCCCTTCATCATCTGGAAGGAGAACCTCAAAGAGGCGAGGAGCTTTTCAGTCTTGTTTCCCCTTCCTCTCGGCCCAAATCCTCTATGAAAGGCCTACCATCTCGCTCTCACCCACTTCAAGGACGCAGCCACTGTTGTCGTGACAGCTTGCACATGATGCTTGGGTTTGCGGCAAACGAGTGTTTTCGCAATGAAGCAAGACCTGCGGCTCAAGAATCAGACACATCCCTGGACTTGCGAAGACTTGCTTCTAGAACCTGGTGCCATGTCGCCCCTGCAAGCCTGGCTTTCCTGCACTTCGCGGGCAGAGGAGGCAGTGGCCCATGGACTGGGCAGGGTCGCCAAATCTTGCGCTCGCAATCCTTGGAAATGTGTGTCGCTGACCGTCGTGGGCTGCTTGCTCTGTGGCGTGGGTGTTCTGCGCTTCAAGGCCGTGAACGAAGCTCGTGATCTTTGGGTAGATCAAGGATCGCAGGTCATGAAGGACTTGGAGTGGACAGAGCAGTACTTCCCCGCCCGCGGCCGTATGAATCGCATCCTGGTCACTGCAAAGGATGGTGGCAGCATTCTGCGACTGGAGACGATGGCCGAGATCTTCCAACTTGCTGATGATGTGAAAGCACTTTCGGGTACTGATGGAACGACTTCTGCCGATGTTTGCCTTCAGGTTGCCTCCGGTTGCTTAAATGCTGGGGTCCGCCGGTATTTTGGGACCGGTAACACTGCCGACTTCAATCAGACAGTCACGACTCAAGCCGACATCCTGGTTGCTGTGAACAAGGCCAACTTCCCTGACGGTGCTCCAGCATTCGCCGATGACTCACTGGGTGGCATTGAGCGCGATGGCAGCGGCAGCATCACGAGTGCCACCGCCGCACGTGTCGACTTCATCTTGAATGCCAACAGCGATACGATGGCATGGGAGGAGGCTCTGGTGGAGCATTTCACCAAGGACCAGCTCTCCAATCAACGCTATGTGCATGTGGATGCTTTTGTGCAGGCGCAGCGTTCCCAGGACGACGAGCTGAACAGAACAGTCCGAGCAGACATTCCACTTTTCGCCATTGCTTTCGTGGTGATGGCAACATTCTGCTCGCTCTTCCTCGGCAAGACAGCATCGTGGACACAGAGCAGAAGGCTGCTGGGACAAGTCGAGTTCTTCCTGGTGCTCTTTGGGTGCATCGCAGGCTACGGCACCTCCATGCTGATCGGAGTTCCATTCACAGTGCTGCAGCAGATCCTCCCTTTCATTCTCGTGGGCATTGGCATCGACGATGCTTTCGTCATCTCCGGGGCCTTCGATGCGACCGACAAGTCCCTCAACATCCCTGACCGGATCGAGAAAGCTGTGCAGCGTGTGGGAGTCTCTATCACATTGACTAAGGTGACCTCCATCTCCTCTTTCCTGCTGGGTGCAACCTGCGTCTTCCCTTCGGTGCAGTACTTCTGCGCCTATGCCGCCATCTCCTGCTTCTACATTTGGCTCCTTCACTGCACCACCTTCTGTGCCCTGCTCGCCCTTGATGCAAGGCGTGCCGAAGCAGACCCCCCTCGCCTGGACCCTTGCTTCTGCGTTGGGGCCGGTGCATCATGTGTGCCCAGCGCGAAGAGTGCAGAGGGCACGTCGATTCTTGAGAAGATCCTCGTGGCCATGATCAAGTTCCTGACCAGCCACCCAGCCATCTCGTTCACCGCAATCATCCTTTTCCTCGCCGTAGCTGCGGTGTCTGCCTGGCAGGTGAGCCTGGGCCTCAGCACCGACTTTAACATCATGGACCTGTCACCGGACAAGAGCTACTTGCGAGATTTCAACGATATGGAGAACCTCCACTTCGGCGGCCTCTCAACAGGTGGCTTGTCCTTGCCATGTGCCTTGTATGTGGCAGACACGGACGTTAGCTCCCTGGCAGTGCAGCGCCATCTCGAGGAGGCCGGTGCCGGGTTGATGGCACTCGAGAACGTCAACTCTGTCCGGGGGCTTCAGTCATGGCACACCATCTTCACCCTTTGGGCTTTGCAGAACAAGGGTGTCCTTGCTTCCCTGCCCGACAGTGCCTTTACCGCAGTCGATACCAACCGTACCGGCTGCCAGGCCGGCTTGCCTTCCGGCGTCACAACCTGCACCAGCCACCTGGTCACAGGCAGCACTTTCTTGACCGCACTTCAGGAGTTCCTCGCAACGCCTACGGGCAGGGCCTTCGAAGATGATGTGGTGATCCAGAACGGACAGATCAAGGTGGTTCGTATTCGGGCCAATCATATCGACACTTTCAACAGCAGGGAGCAGGTCACCTTGCTCGAAGAGGTCGAGGCTTTCACTCAGCAGTGGCAAGCCGCGCTGCCAGGAAGCTTCGTGAGCGCGCAAGCCTATATCTTCTTCGATCAGTACCGCATCATTGTCGAGCAGATGACAACCAGCATTGGACTCTGTCTAGCGGCAGTTCTCCTCATTAGTGCGCTGGTCTTGGCCCATCCCCTCTCTGTTTTAGTGGTGCTTCTCGTCCTTGCACTGGTTTTTATGGACCTCATGGGCAACATCGTGCTATGGTCCCTGGCCCTCAACTCCATCAGCATGATCAACCTTGTCATGGCAGTTGGGTTGGTTGTGGATTACTCCATGCACATGGCACACAGCTTCGGGCTCCAAGATGGAACGCTGCCACGCAGCAAGCGTGCTGAGCTGGCCATGAAGGAGATGGGACAGCCTATCTTCATGGGTGTCTCCACAACCTTCTTGGCCATCTTGCCTCTGGCCTTCTCAGCCAGTCAGGTTTTCCGCGTGTTCTTCAAGATGTTCTTTGGCATTGTTTTGGCGGGTGGGTCACACGGGCTGATCTTCCTTCCTGTCTGCATGTCCATGTTTGGTCCCAGTGTGACCAAGTCCACAGTGGAAGACATATCGAACACTGACGCGGAGGCTGCTGCTGGCAAGGCCAACGGTGAGGCGGCGACGAAGTAGGCCCGTAGGCTGCAGGGTTTTATTGTCTTTGGTCAGCGCTAAGCGATGACATGTCCTCTGACTCTGACGGTGTGCACGTAAAACGAGCTGCCGTCTTTTTGGTTTTCTCGCAGTGCTCACTGTTTTCGATTCACCTTGTTCCTGGTGAATCTACCTCCTTATCAGGGCTGGGAGAGGTGAGTCGTGGCGGTCTTTGGGTGCGATCCTAAGATCGTTCTGGGAGCAAACTGCTGGACGAGCTACTCCGTGCCACGCTTCATGGTGGGAGGGCTTCCGAGCCCTCTCATGTGGATTGCATGCAATCGCCATTCCCACCAGCTTGTGCCTAGTACTTCGACATTATAAGCGGTCTTGCTTCCTGCGGGACTATGCACGAGCTGGTTTTTCCATTCCGACAGAAGCAAAGCTAGACTTTCTCTGGCAGAGCCAGTGGCAGTTCGTGCTTGTGCGTGGCAACATGTGGTTCTTCGCCTCTGCAAGAGTCTGCGCAGTTTGTGTGCGTATGCACAGACACACTCGCAAAGATGTGTTGATCTTGGGCAGGACAAAGAGACGGGCCTGAACCATCTGGAGCAGATTGCAGGCACAAGTACAGGTTTGCACCCAAAATCCTGAACACATCAGGTCGCACGTCCAGGCAGCACCGGCCCACAAACTCTAAAAGGATTTTGGGACTTAGTACCTGTGGTTATAATTAGGGGAACTATACACATGACTATACTTATGACTACATGGTAAAGCTCCACGGTACCCGGCACCTTTTTACACACCCTGCAAATTCATATTTCCTGGAGGCCGCGAAGGCGTCCGTAGAGTTTTGGCGGCCCGGACCGAGACCACCCTCCGGCGCATGTCCTCCACTGCACTGGCGCCTGGGCAAAAGCCTCGAGAAAGGCTTGGGGTTGGTTGAAGGTCATCGGCGTCGAGTTTTCGTCGTACTGTGATGCATTCTCAGGCTTTGGGGCATGGTTGCAGGGTAGGTCTGCGGGCACATTCTTCGCTGCGGCACCAAGGTTGCGCAGCACATGCAGGTTCTCGACGTCAATGACGACGCAGAATTCCTGGAGCAGCCGGTCAGCGAGGCATCTGCGGCCACGGGGGAGCAAAGAAGACTAAACCCCTAAACCTTAAGCCTAAACTCTAAATCCTAGTTTCCTAAACTTCCGCAAACCCTAAACCTACAGCCTCACACCAGATGCAGCTTGCAGGAGCGGATCCACGAAATCATGAAGGCGGAGTGTTGCCTCATTCCTTTTCTGCTCCGCACCTTCCGATCATGGCTGAGTGGTGTTTGCTGCTGCCAGCACACTTCTGCACCTTTTCCCACCAAAAAGCCCCGAATGTAATCAATCGCAGTGACGTATGTGAGCTCTCCTCCTCGTCGTTGGCTTCACTATTATATACCAGTATCGCAATGCCTCGGTTGTCTCAGTAGCTCTTTATGATTGTCATGATGATGATGACGACGTCCATCGTAGACTGATGCAAGGGTGGCGGCTGTGACGATGATGGTGACGAGGATGGGCGCAATGCTGGTCGTTTTTCCTGAGCCAGACGTGACCATCGTGCTGGCTCCCGTCACCTCAAGCACAGTCGTCATCACGTCTACCGTATTCGGTTGGGCGTCGTCGTATCTGGTGGCGATGATGGTGGTGGTCGAGCTGATCTCCTCCTCCTGCACATCCTCGTGCTCATCCTCATTCTCGTCACCACCATATCATGACCATCGGGCTGGTGTTGCGGCTGATGGTGAGAGATGATGAGTTTGCCGAAAATTATGACAGTTGTCACATTTATGATGACTGCCGTGCGGCTGTTACCGATGACGACAAAGGCGATGCTGACGCTATGATCATAGTGATGTTGCTGCTGATGATGATGATGACGGTGATCATGATGGTATGGTGGTGAGGATGACGGCGATGATGTCACGTCTTGGTGTTGATGACAGTCATGGGGATGAGTATCACGAGAGTGGTCGTGATGGTGATCATGTGAGGATGGTGCCCACAACGATGGTGATGATCACGCTGCTGCTGATAATGGTGGTGATGGTGGTGATGTTGCTAAAGATAGAGCATGATGCTGCAGCTGCTCCTGATGATGCTGCCAACGGTAGTGGTTGAGATGAAGAAGGCGATGACGAATCCATGCCTGACAACGACCTCCTGTCTTTTCTGTGCAAAGAGGGTTGTCCA